ACACTACTACTATTATAGGAGAACAAGGTTATGCTTTTCTGATACTTGTAACTATTACATTATTTGAGAAGCATTATCGTTAGATTTCAAAATTACATTAGGTGTAAGTGGGTAAATTAGGTAGTGTTGATTTAAACGACTTTGTCCGTCAAGACAAGCACTTCCAACAGACACTAGTGCTAACTTTCATCAACAGATGCCATCTCTGACTTTGATACTAATGATCAGATAGCCAGAAAAGATATTCAACAAGGAACGCTGACATTGCAACGAACAGGCAGTCTGGGAACCTTTTACCCAATAAATAAACAGAAGGGAGTGAAAATAGATTGAACTTATGCTGTGAGAAGACCATTGAGTAGCATCATGCGCCGTCACACCAGTGAATGGAACCCGAATGTGAAACGACGAGTTGGACGTGCGTCAGAGGGGATTACATGGAGGAGAGTGTGTGAGAAAGAAACGAAAAGCCACGGGCAATCGTGCAGTTAGAGTTAAGAGAGTCATCAAAGGATGGAGTGAGATGGATTCTGAAGCTGTATCTTCTACTCGGAACCCATGGGAACAATTGATTAGTTAATTAATTTAAGATGAAGTGGTGCCTTTGCCTCGTAGCTCAGTGGACGGATTATTAAATGTGTTCCAAAGAGTGTGTTTATTTTTGGCGGGGTTGTGGTTACTTAATAGTTGATTGTTATTATAATGCTTTTATTAATACTCAATTTATTAAGTGCCTGGGTATTAATTATGGTATAATAGGGGATTATTACAGCATGGGGTTTTGTAGCCTGTTCTCTTTCTATGCAAAAGTGCAATGCTTCATTTTGAACTCTTATGCCTTGCAGTTGGTAAATGTATGTATCAACAACAACGTAGTAGGATAAGTGTTGGACTTAGTCTTATTTGAGTAGACTATTTATTTAGATATTTGAAGTCACGTTTGACTAATTTAGTTTATTTATTTATACTACTTATAAGTAAGCAAACATTTTAACTTATTTGAATTATTTTTATGAGGTAACCACATTTAAAATTCTTCGCAAAAAATTAATCTTTTGTTATTTTTTGCCATTAATAAGTTATCAAAGTTTCAAAATAGAATTTTTATACGTCTCGAGATAATGGAACCTATTGAGCTTACTTTACCATATGCAATGTTTACTTGTGTGTTTCCTAAATGTGTTAATTTCTGTGTGTTTGAATAGAAAAGACTATAACAAATAATCATTTGTCAGGTGTTGGTTTACAAAGATTTGATTGATTTAAAATTGAAAATGAATATAATGCTCACTAGTGATCAGTGTCTCAGAGTTTAGTTGATTATAGTTCTAGTAAGAAGTCGTTACTATCTGGGTCCATCAAGTCGAGTGTGTGGATGACATTGGTTGGTCCTTGTACAACTTGGCAGAAGTTAGAGTTTTTTAGGTCAGCCATTGGATTCCGTCTCATTGTCTGAATGGTCAACGGGCTTCACTCATAACCTGAAGGTAGTGGGTTTGACACTTGGTGAGGCGATGTGTGTGTGTGTACTTACAGAGAGTCCTAAACTAGGATGAAACAGCCGCTCAGTACTCCCTTGTTTTCAGTGGTTCTCTAACTGAAGTTAGCTCATGATATTCCTTTCAATGATCAGTTATTGTCATGTAAAGTGACAATGAAGAAAAATGTCTCATTTACTTCGTGTGTGTCGGTGGCACAGCGGTGGTCCGGGGTTCGATCCCCGGCCGACGCACTCCTTTACCTCGCTAAGCCAGTAGTAAGACTGGCAAAGAGGGAAGGTTGGGCATGAGGCTAGCAACCACATCCTGTAAAAATAATCACCACTGCTACAGAAACTTCAAGCCTCTAGCTTGAAGCCCTATGTTCCACTGGGAACGTAAAGGCATAAAAAAACTTCGTTTATTTCCTTATTTTTATCTTTGAAAGTTTTAATGTGGTCTGGCAAACGACAATTCCTATTGATTTGTTTAACCTCTTGTAAGGATATAGTACTCTTTTCAGGAAAATTGACTTTCTTTTTAACCGGTCAAGGTATCTACATGGCGCACTCGTGTTTACATTAGACAATGATATTTCGGAGTACGAAGACCACAGATTGAGTAACTAAAAGTCGTAGGTGTGAATAAATGCATGTTATTTAAAGAGGGGGAGGGGTGGAACCACGTCTACTTTATTTTGTATCAGCCTTGGAATATAGTTTGCTTTTCGATAATCAGAATCAGAATTTTTGGGGAATAGGTGATATGATGATTTAGAGTTACTCTTGATGACATAGTTTTGTTCATACTTCATCCGTTGTCTTTATCGTAATATTGATTCCTTTAAAACCACATTTCTCTCATTATTTGTCTTAAGGCGTACTGCGACTTGAGATTATAATCTTCCAACTTTTTGTTTGTCTTATATAGTACCATATCTACTTCATATTGGGAATGCATTTTGTTTGAAGCACTCAGTAGATTGTAGTGTATATGACATCCTTATATATATCTTAAGAAAAAAAGTTTCTTTAATCACCGTATCAATTAATTACTTCTGTTATGTGAAAGTCAATGGAAGCCAATTCTATAGCTATGCAGTTCAGAACCATTTATTTTAAAGAGTAAACATTAGAGTGGTGTGAATTCATTTTCTGCTGATTTATTTCTAACGTCGTCATGCTATTAAAAGAGAGATTACTAGTTAGTTAGTTATCCATAAAGTTTAACAATGTAGATTATTATTAAAGCATAATCCAAGACATATCAAGAAGTTAAACGGCTTTTGTGTGTTACTTGAATAAACTTGAATCTAAATTAATACAATACAATAGAGTTTACTTTAAACTATATTGAATTTAAATTTGTTCAGTTCTGTAAATGAAGACAGCTTAATTTTCAGCATGAACTTAACATCATTTTACGAGATATAAAAATGTATAGCAAGCATTTAGATTAGATTAGATATTACTCAGCTAAATTCTTTTCATTGAAGAATTAAATAGACTAATCAAAAGAAATTTTGCTTACTGTGTAGAAGACATTAATCATTAGATTATAATAATAGGGAAGGTCTGATACTATGAAGTTCAAGTATTGGTTTGTAGGGATTTGATTGATTGGTTACAGGATTTCATCATGAGCTGACATTGGTTAGAGAACCATTGGAAAACCTTCAGGGAGTACTGGACAGCTGTTTCGTCCCAGTTTGGGACTCTTCACATTACGCACCAGTAGGGTACAGCAGGTTGAAGGTGAGACAGTAACTCATCGAAGAAGACATTGAGAAGTGGTCACACTATGTCATGAATTGGCAGAAGTTAGAATCCATGGGCCATTGGGTCGGGTCCCAGTGGCTTAATGGTCTACGAGCTCGCTAGCCTTGTAATCAGAAGGTCCTGGGTTCGAACCGTGGCGGTGGGTGCGTACTGATGAAGAGTCCCAAACAAGGGCGGAGGAAACAGCTGTCCAGTACTCCCTGCAGGTTTTCCAGTGGTTCTCTAATTGATGTCAGCTCATGATGAAATCCTGTAACTATGAAGTAAATAGTTTTACTCTTTAATTTTCATTGATTCTTTAGTTGATCTTCTCTGTATCGTTCCAATTTTAGTATATGTACTGCCGAAGCTCGAAACGTCATCATTTAATATTACTGTACAACACTGTGTGATTTATCTTTAGTTGATGTCTGTATTTTATGAGGAATAAAATGCCTGTCATCTTTTTAACCTGTGCATTTATGACAATAAAAAATGAACTACAAAAAAACGTGATATTTGTTAATCAAAATGATTAGCTGTTGATCTTATCGGGGAGGTTTGTGTGGTGATAGAATAATAGTGCTTGATCTACGGATTCTTCATTACTTAGACGGGCTACAAATGAGGTAACTGTCATTGCACACCCACAATACGTAGACATATGACAATAGAAAATATTGAACACTAACCATTCACCTACACAGAGAAGACAAGACAAATCTGTGGAGGTAGAATTTTATCATCCTGGAAGTAATATCTCCCAGTTAGACCATTAGTATTTATTTAATCCAACCAATCATTGCCAAACATAGTGCAGAAACATTATCTTCTTGTAAACTGCAGTGATAAGAATGCCAATGACACTGACCTTTAACTTTGATTAAAAACGAATCCTCAATCATAATGTACATTATTGTTACTATGAAATACAGTCTTTTGATTGGTTGTTTCTCACACAAAGTTAACCTTGCATCTCTTTGTGGCTGGCTGTGTCAGATCATCCATATGCTAACTGTATCCGCCTACGCAAAGCCTTTGTTTTCATTTTCTCACCACCAATATTGGGGACATAAACATTGACGTCAATTACTGTCTACCAACTTTGGCTAGCAGCCAGCTCTCACCACATCTGTCTTTCCCAACAGTTTGTCTAACTTATAGCTGAAGTTCATTTGATTGATAAACTAAGTCGATAGCATTGTTTAAGTTAATTTGTATTTCTCACTGATTGATTATGTTAGACGGGAATTGTTGATCTCTCTTGGCATGTTAGTTCATAGTACGGACACCTTGACGATATCTGAAGATTAAAGTGATACCATTTCGCTTTATGGTGGCTACCAGTGGAATCCAGGATGCGCATTTGGTCCTATTTAAGACTCGTCAGCTGACTAGTCACCATTGGATAAGACTTTGGTGTTTGAAACGATAGATGAGGAGTTGAGCTCTCATTCCAATACTTACTGAGGATGCAGGTACATCCAGCTGACGAGTCCTACTGTAGAAAGGGTAACAAGTATTTAGCCAAATGCCATGCAGTTACGCAAGATCGACTTGGAATACATAATTATGTGAAAATTTGTTAGAATTGTAAATGTTGTATTCCACACTGTAACTAATTGCTTCTGTTTCTTAAAAAGTTTATAAAAACTAAATTTGAGTACTATATATCACTTATTCAGTGTTAATAAGCTTTCTGTATACTCTTCACATATCAACATTAATTTCCGTTATTATTTTTTTCTAACCAATTAAATTATAGGATTATTTACCACTACGTTGGATGGCCCCAGAGTGCATTGAGACGAATTATTTCACTTCAAAATGCGATGTATGGTCGTTTGGTATACTATTATGGGAGTTATTCACTCTCGGTAATACACCATACTGCGAAATTGCTACAGATGAGGTAATTGACTGGGTAAACCAGGGAAATCGTAATCCTCGACCATACTTATCAACTGAAGCAGTATATCAATTAATGCTTGACTGCTGGTCACAAGAACCTGATAATCGACCGGAATTTTCTGAAATATATACACGAATTACATCTATGATTCCAAACTCCACCGATAATTGTTCAAGCGATTTTGTTAAGGTGAGTAGATATGACAGACCTTCTTATAAAAGTGTCTTTTTCATGATAAGTTAATTGTTGTAATAATAGCTGTTGCGTTCATATAATTTATGGTTAATTCATAAGTTATAAAGTTATCACAACCAGTCTTTGTTATTTCTCTGGTTTGAAGAATTTTTTCCTAAAGTGATATACCATTTCCAACTGTGTTAAATCATCAATTCTAGATCATAGTACCAAATTATTTAAGTGATTTTTCTTTCTTTATTATTCATTGCGTTCCGAGTGAAACACACAGGGCTTCGAACCCTGGAGTTTCAGTAGTTAGTGGTTTTGTTCTCATGATGTGGGGTTTTTGGCGTTTTCGAGCTTACTACCGGCTAGTAAAGTAGGCGAGGCTTGGCACAGTATCCACGGGGATTAAACGGGGATTTCCCGAGTGGTTGGTAATCATTTTACAATTCCAACTACTGACACACAAGCAATTCCTTTTGTAATATGATATTTTATGCATAACGATGAATGTATTTTACTAAAGGCAAAAAAAAGATCGTTCTAGTGAAGCAAATTCAGCCTAACATAGCAAAAGAGGAATCATAGATTTTAGTAATTCATATTTCTTTCTTCTAGAAAGCATAACTCAGTGATAAAATAAAACAATTACGACATTGTTTGAACTCTGACAGCCAGCGATTCGATTATCTTTACTAACATTCGATTAATTTTGTCTTAAGATTCAACGACTTTCCTAGTTAATGTAAAAAACAATTACCCATAATAGTAATTCTCACATGATAAAAATCGAGATTGTTCGTTATTTGATTCAAACAGAATGAATAATTCATTAGTTATATGAGAAAAGTTGCTTCAACTATCGTGGATCCACGTCGTCCTCTGTGCTAATGTAACTAAGGCGATAACTCTTTAAGGCCATTAATTATATTTCTCAAATACAATTTACCTACTAATGAGTAGTGTAAAAGGCATTTCCAAAAAATAATTTGAAGGATCGTGCTTCCATTACAGCAGTATGCTTTAGTCTGATGAGAAAGTAGGATTCACCTAGTTATGTAATGATAACAGAAACGACTTTAGTTTTATCTGTTACTTTTACAACATGTATGCATATATGTATATTGAGTCATAAAAGCCTCAATCTCTTTCTTGACTATGAAACATAGCCATCGAAAGTGGAATACGTGAAAAGTTTAGCTGTCTTTGATCATGAGCCTCTGCGTTCTTCTCCCGTGTTAGGTGGTATAATAGTATGAGTAATATTGAGGATAGGCCTAGATTATTCGGTAGGGAGTGAACCTTACAACGGGCAATGTTAGCTGACATAAGATGAAGTTGGAAAACACCTAGTGGTGGACAAACCAAGGTAGGTGTAGGGTGCCTGGTTGGGGTGTTCGGGATTCTAAGAACAAACCAGTCAGTCCGTGAGTCACAAAATTAGAATATAGTCTGTTGAATGTGAATAAAAGCCTATCATATTATTTTTACTGGAACTCACTGTTGTATTACTTGCCTTTTTTCAATCTGAATTATGATACTTCATTTTATAAATTCTGTATATGTCTTTCGTTAGCGATAAACTTATGTTTACTTAACTGTGCAATAGTAACTTGACACATAATGGTGTGACGGATAAGAACTAGTTGGATGGATGTTACACCTTTAGAATAATAAGAAATACCTTTTCGCTAATTAGGCAGTAAGAATGTTGACTGACGCCGCCAATCGATATGCTTCAAGTCAGCATTTGGATGTTTGCCCCATACTAGACTTTTAGGTCAGTAAGGCTAAGATATGATTTCATTTACATTCAGTGTGCCCTTTTTTCCCACTTCTATATGTAACATTTTCTTGTGTTGTTGTCAACATGAAAGCATCTATAGTAACATTTTCTTCTTGTAAAAAAGAGTGTTACAGTTTTATGTCTTAACAGATTGGTGTTCGACTTTGAAGTTTATGTATACTGATTGGAATAAAATAACAGTTATATTTTCATAATCACAAGAGAACATTATGCACAGTTGCTGGATTGCTCTTCACTGGTTTACTAAGCTTCTCAGGATTGTTTTAAACCAGACTGAATTACTTATTATATATATAAGGTGCCAAATGTTAAAATACCCGACCTGTTTACTACAACCCCATTTGAAGTATTGAATGATTGTAACTGCTACAAAGTTCTGGAATGAGACTTACTCAATGTGACTAGTTGAATAACTCATTAGGAATTTAACTCTTCTTTTTTAAAATTTTTATTATAAATATTGTGGGTCTAACTTTATCACTTTTCTTTTCTACATTACACACACACACACACAGGGATATGTTGAAATCCTCGCAGATGTTGACGAATACTTAACTCCTCGTCAATGTTTACACTAGATAAATATCTTCTAGTCGATTATTGTGGGTGCTCCATTTGTCCTGCTGTTGTTAGTACATTTATTCCACTGATTGAAAAAGAAAACCACAACTAACAATACCAACAACAACAACAACAAGAATGAGAACAATACAAATCCCCCACTTGAAGTCCAACAAGCAGCTATGTACAGTAAAACATCTTCATGATCATCATCAACATTTATTAACACTATGAGAAACAGTTGAACATGTATTTATATATATTATAACGTATATATATATATGTATAATTGCTTTTAATACTACTACTATTATTATTATTATCATCATTATTACTATTCTTATTCATATTTTAAAGGTATATGTATTATTTTTTTCCCGACTTTTCATCCCATCGACATCCCATTTTTTGTACGTCAATAGATTGTGACTGTTTATTATTATTATTACTACTATTATCATTGCTATTACTATTATCCCTGCTTTTAAGGTATATATGTATTATATTTCCACAATATTTCACTTTTCTGACATCACTCTTTTTGTAAACCTAAAGATTACAACTATTATTATTATTATTATTACTATCATCATTACTATTATTATCATTTATTCATGTGTGTACAAAACCATTCATAAGATTAATTATTTTGTGTATAGTCGCTATTTTCTCCTACAATTTAAATAAATAAATAAATATATATATGCATATAGTATAGGCGTTGCTACGCATCAGTTTGTGGTCTCTGAGGTGGATGGCTTTTAACTGCAACACTTTCATTGTCTTTCTAGACAGTATCTTCAGCGCAAACTTCAATATGAATTGAAGAAGTTTGAATTTTCCACAAATGATATAAACTTGTCTCTCTTGTGACAACCTTTGTCGTGATTGGTTGTTAATTTGGATTGGTCTTGATCACCTTTTTTTATTGGTTCGCGATTTGACATTTTATCATGAAGCTTTTTCCTTATTAGTTGGTTGATTTTGATGTGTCATAATATATGTCTGTTGATTTCAGAGATTCATCTAACTGCCCCAAGGCTACTAAGAATTCCCTGACATTTTTGATGTTTCCGCTATTTAAAATTTCTACATTTTTCTAAGTCAAATAGGTGTGTCCGTAGCCGTCTGTATGCTTTGATATGAAAGAATATAAGTGATGTGTCTTCTGACAGCTAGTTTATGTTGTGGAATATGAAGTCGAAGGGAATGCTCGCTTCAACCAATGTAGTACTTAGCATAATTCATGGAATTAATTTTGTAGAAGGTGTTGACTTTGTCTTCGTTTGCTGTTGGGTCTTTTAGTTTGCATAGTATTGAATGAAGTGATTTGTTTTGGTTTGTGTGTGATGCCTATTCCAAGGGGTTTTAGTATTCTGGTCGTTATTTCAGAAATATTCTTTATACTGTTTTAGGATGAGTTTTTCTTGTGGTTTTTGGGAATGGTTTCTTGCGGGTAGTTTGATTTGTGTGTTTACACGTTTTTTCGATGAAATTGGGATAGCATTCATTTTTCTAGAAGACTGGTCATAAGTATTTTTCTTCGATTCTCTTAACAACTGGAGTTCTGCAGTGTTTTAGCTACTTTGAATAAAAGCCTGTACACAGTTCTTTTTGTGAGCTGTTGGATTATTGCAGCTGTAGTTGACTTGTAACGGCGGAAGACAATAGAAGTGTTAGTGTCCTTTTTTATTAAGGAAAACGCATCATATTTAATCATTTTAACAACATTAAAAGTCGGCTAGGTCAGCGGACAATGAACTCTTCTGATTGGTTGGCAATTAGCCAAAGGGTTAAACAATGGAACGGAAAGTTGTTCGATGAAGTTATTTCATGACTACAACGTAAACTAGATCTAAATTTGAGGAATAAGCACTTCTGCTCCTGTAGTCATTGATTTAAAAAGGGGATTTCAATTTTTGGCCACTTACTGTCAATCTGCATTTATATGCAGATTGTTTAATGTCACACAAAATCGAAGACTCGCAGGCAAAAACCAGCAGACTGGCAGAAGAAGCAGGCAGTGAAGACATGACTACAGATGAACTAGATAAGACAGAGGTGATTAAAATAACTAACCAACAGCAACCAGCACCAATCACCATCAACGGGAGAGATGTGGCAGAGATTACTTCCTTCATTTATCTAGGCAGCCAGCATCGTTTCAGCCACCGGTAGAGAACGGATGAAGATGTCAAAGACAGAATCAGAGAGGCAAGATACGCCTTCATCAATCTGAAACCAGTTTGAAAATCTTCTGCATTGCACTCAGCAAGCATAAAGAACGAAATTCGGATTTTCAACACAAATGTGAAGCCAGTCAGTCAGTTCTTCTATACGGGTCAAAAAGTTGAACTGCGTGTCACTAAAAGAACTTCCAACAGGTTACAGACTTATCAACAGCTGCCCACTTCGCTGACTCCATAATGAATGTCAAATGGCCAAACACCCGGCTAGAAAGAATTGGCAACAAGAAACTGGTTGGGGACAAACCAACCAAGAACCTATCGTTCAACAAATATGTAAGAGAAAATGGAGATCGATCATACGTTGAGGAGGCCATCGAACGACATCGCGCGCAATGCAGGCCATCGCTCGAGTGAAATCTCAATGGGAAGGGACTAGTGGGTCGTCGGTCCAAGGGTAACATGGAGGAGATCGTTTGGGGAGGAGGAAATGAGAGATTATGGGCAAATGTGGACCCAGTTGAAGAGGACCGGAGAGGGTAGAAGAAAGTAGAGATGTGTTGTTGAAGCCGTATGTTCTGCTCGGAATCAAAGGAATAATGATAATAACAGAAAGCACAATTTAGTCGTTTGTTTGGTCGATCTGAAAAGTTTCAGGAATTGACGTGGATAATAACCTGTCTCGAGACACTCCTCATAGAACTTAATCTTCGATATTTCTCTCGCTATTCTGCAGCGTAACGTCACTACCTCCAACTCAGAAGAATCTGCGTCGCATCGTCAGATCGCATATTGTGATTCATCTCAGAAATACATCAACACCTTGAGGTGAGATCTAGTCACATATAACAGTCTACTAGAAAGTCTCAATTTGGTGTGTCAGATAAAGTTTATTAGCTTCATGCAAGACTTTACAACTACAAATCGTGAATTCACACAGAAAGAAGCTCAGGAAATCTTTAGTAGTGGAGTAACTAAATGAAGAATTTCCACAGTCCCCGGAGAAATGCATATACAATTTATCTGAGGTGAAGCTAAACCAAGTCGAAACCGAAGCACTGTCTCTAGGATTCAAGTATCACGTACCAGAATTGACACAGAAACTCAGTTTTAGTATTTATACTACTAACTATCATATTCGAAACCTATAGACGAGGATAAAAATGTTTGGTTTAAGTCCAAAATGGTTGATATCGCAGAGCAGTATCACATTTCTCCTCCTGCACGGTCAAAAATGCTTACTAAGGAGCACAGGCTAGCGTTAAAAAACCTGCAGAACAATGAAAAGATCGTCATTCTTAAATCAAACAAGGGTTTTGGCGTCGTAATAATGAACCGGTGAGACTACATCTTCAAAATGACAACGCTTCTCAGTGATACGATGAGATTCCAAGTGGAAGGGTCAAAAAACGATGCAACAACTGCCTTCGAAAACAAAGTAAACAGGCACCTCAAGGAACTGCTTGAAAGAAGGACTAATCGACAACAGCACCTATAATGACCTCAAAGTAAGGGGTTCACGCCTACCGTTCATGTATGGTCAACCCAAAGTCCACAAACGTGATGTCCTATTGAGACCTATAATGTCAATGGTGAAATCACCATGCCATAAACTGTCTAGGTGGTTGGCACAAAAGTTAGAACCAATGCGACAAAAGTTGTCAGTCGACAGTATCAAGGGTTCCTTCTAATTCTCACAAGAATCAGGCCAACTGAACATTTTAGACAAACTTCTCGTATCATACGATATTTGTTCGCTGCTCAGTGGCATACCCATTGAAGAGGCAGTGAGAATCATATACCAGCAATCCGAACTACTTCCTCTTCCTGAAAAGGAGCTACGAGAATTACTACTTCTTTGTACAAAGAACGTCCAGTTCCGATTCAACGACCAGCTGTACCGGCAAATCAACGGGGTGGATATGGGTTCACCTTTGGGTCCTGTTCTTGTGGACATATTCATGACTCATCTTGAACAGACACGAATGAAGACGGAGGTGTGTTGATCAAACGTTTGTGGTTTGCAACAATATGGATGACGCACCCACGATGTTCGAAAACCTCAGTGCGACTCACCCTCACATAGCACTTACAATGGACCATGAACGTGACAACCAGTTCCACTTCCTAGATGTCAACATAAAAAGATGAAATGTTGAGAAAATTGAAAAATCCATCGACAGGGAAGAAACTTGAACTGGTCAATACTTGAATTATCACTGTTTCTCCCCGACTGGCTACGAGTGGGGCCTGGTGAAAACGCTCTTCAGCAGAGCTAGGGCGTTGTGTTCAGAAGATAAGATCGAAGAGGAACTCGCGATCATCGAAAAAAGCCTTATCGAAAATGGATACTCTCGGAAGTTCACATCAAAATATGGGAAGGAAAATCCACCTAGACCGAAACCCAAAATTTTAAAAAAGAAAAAACTTCTTCATTGTAAAAAGTAAAATTCTTATTCACTCATTACAATACCTTCATCATAAAAATGAGAGAGAGCGTCTTCTAGGTTCTCCGAGCATATCCCTAAAAGTCTCCGCTTTCAAGGCAGCAAAGTATTCTCAAGCGCAATCGCCAGACACCTAATCGATACGGGAAATTAGTCAGGCTTTCAAAATAATCAATACACAAAGAAAAGCATGGTTACTTTGGTTCGCATAAGCCATTGCCATCAAAAGACTTCGACTCAACCTATGCATACAGAAAGAGAGAGTGTGACTAATCTCTCACTACCCTGGTAACCATAATTGTTTTGTTTGTGTACTTTTATGTTTTGTTCTGTTGCGTAACATTCCACTGAATCTTGATTTTGATTTTCACTCACTGAGTTGAACTCACTATTAAATTAAGTTTCCAAATCTACTAAATTAAATTATTTTATCTACTTTGTAATTTTACTTCGCTATTCACCCCCACCCTCCTGAATTCTCCACCATAATATGTATGAATTCACTTTGTTGTTCTGTCTCTAATTTTGTCTCTAGTCCATCGTTATTTCCAAGAGAAATGAGAACTCCACCCCTTTTTCTAATTACTACATAAATAGTTATTCTTTTAACACTAAATAAGTGTCTACCTTACATCATCTTTGAAGTTATGGTGCTTATACTTTCTATCTATAACTTGAAATCATTTTAAAAAGTATGTTCAGAAATTTTGCAACATATTATTGATTTATTTAGGATGCACGCAGTTGAAGAGAGAAGAATCCATGAAGTAAAACCAGGTCGTATTATCCTGCTAATATTTTCGTTGTTTCTTTATTCAAAGAACATGTTCGATACAATTTAGTTACAATAAGGTTTCTGACAAGTGAAGGTGCCCAGTCTTCTGTTGCATAAGAAAATTACGCTTTTCATTGTGATTTGCTCTGCGTTAATATCTTTGAACCCTTAGTACTTATTTTTCAGGATTTTCTTGAGGCTGTCTTCAAACTTTTCATGAGAGCATATTGTTCTGGCTCTGTAAAACAGTGTTTCTACTAGTGCTACTTTATAGATCTATAGTTTTATTTCGAAAATTCGCAACTGTTTTATAACTTGTGATTTTAAATGTTGAAACTTACTTCAAGCAACTAGCATGAGAGGAAAACACTCATTGATTGAAAGTAGTACAAATGATCTCTTAATTATAGT